TGGAGTGCAATGGCGCGATCTTGGCTCACCGCAACCTCTGCCTCCTGGGTTCCAGCGATTCTCCTGCCTCAGTCTCCCTAACAGCTGGAATTACAGGCATGCGTCACCACGCCCGGCTACTTTTGTATTTTTAGTAGAGAGAGAGTTTCTCCATGTTGGTCAAGCTGGTCTTGAACTCCCGATTTCAGGTGATCTGCCCACATCAGCCCCTCAAAGTGCTGGGATTACAGGCGTGAGCCACCGTCCCCGGCCATTTTTGCATCTTTAGTAGAGATGGGGTTTCACCATGTTGGCCAGGATGGTCTCCATCTCTTGGCCTCGTGATCTGCCCGCCTCAGCCTTCCAGAGTGCTGGGATTAGAGGCATGGGCCACTGTGCCCAGCCTAGTTGCCCTTTATAAAGGATACAATTTTTAGAAAGAATGTTTTCCTACAATATATTTTTATTGGAAAATACCCAAATAATGAAATATCTGTTGTTTAATATAACTTTAGATTCAAAATCATGACATTTGTTTATGAGCATTTATCCCATTACATTTATCTAATTATTTATTTTAATCATTTACCTAGAATTACTTATGAAAACTGCAATAGTTGTCATTGAAAGTTATGAAATCGCCATTGCAAAATTATAACTGAGACAGGGAAAATGATCTGCCCTACCCGATTCCATCTTGCTTCTAACCTCCAAGCTATTGTTCATTAACTTAGTTTATAGTTTAGCTTTGAAACAAAGATGGTAACAGTCTTTTCACAGAACAAACTTCCTTCATGTCTGTCTACTAGACTGCCTAAGGCTACAAGATCAGAAGTTAGGGTATTTTAGTAAATAATTCAAGATGTAGCTATCTTCATTAAACTAATATCAATGTTTTATTTATTAAAAATTACACAAGCGGCTGGGTCTGCTGGTGCACATCTGTTATCCCAGCACTTTGGGAGGCTAAGGCAGGCGGATCATCTGAGGTCAGGAGTTTGAGATTAACCTGGCCAAAATGGTGAAATCCTGTCTCTACTAAAAATAAAAAAATTAGCTGGGCATGGTGGCAGGCACCTGTAATCCCAGCTACTCAGGAGGCTGAGGCAGGAAAATCGCTTGAACGTGGGAGGCGGAGGTCACAGTGAGCCAAGATTCTGCCATTGCACTCCAACATGGATGACAAGAGTGAAACTCAGTCTCAAAAAAAAAAAATTACACAAGCAAAGATCACTCTGTTTGGGGTTGAATTATAGTTTTGTAGCCTCTATGCCAAATTTTGACAGCTTATAGTATTTGGCAGAGATAAGTATGAAATTGATCAATAATTGCAAACAAAAATGCGTGCTGGCAACTCTGAAGACATTTCTAGTATTACTTTACCAATAATTTTTTTTTTTTTTTTTTTTTTTTTTTTTTTTG